GCACCCAGAAAATGAATTGTTTTAACCAAAACCCACTGGTTGTGGGTGTTTGTCAATAAAAAAAATTAAATAAAACAAACAAATAAGTGAGGGTTTCCTTAATTGGAAGTAATACGTAAAATAAAATGTCAAAAACTGTCCCGGGGACTCTTTAGGGGGACGTACCGTCGAGCGGGACGCCGTCGTAATGCTTCATGGCCTTGAGGGCGTCGGCCTTGTTAAAATAATGCACGTCCGCCGTCCCTTTGCTCCGACCAGAGCGGTCGTAGTGTATGGAGGCCGTCTTCAGAGCCCCAAACTCTGCAAACAGCTCCTGGAGGGCAACGGGGGGTTTCAAATCGATACCGTTACTCAGCAAAATACTCGATAACATTTTCGATACCACACGGATAAAAACAAAGACCCCAAAATTTTACTGAATTCTGACAGGTTAGTGTCTTTGGTTTCAAACTGACCTATTAATGATCTTATGGTGGCCCACATTAATGATCCTAGCCCTGACCCTGACCCTAACCCTCCAGCCTTCATAATGGTGAGAAATAAATATTTTTTGGTTAAACTTGTTTGGACTTATTGTACGAACCTATTTAACATCCACTATTTTAACATAATATTATGGATAGAGTTTAATTCAGTGTTTGCTAGATTCATTTCACTATTTTTAAATTAATGTCTATATTGCCATGAAGCAATTAACATTTTCTTGCCTGGGATCTTCCTATTGGTGACCTAATCAAAATGGCCGACCTGGATGTGGGGAGTTGGATCTCCATCTTTGACTTGATTAATGTTGGCGTGTTATTATTAGCCATTAGCCGCAGCTAGCAATTCAAAGCTAACGTCACGTTAATGGGGGGTATCGATACTTTTGAAAGAGTATCGTATCCAGATACAACGTTTGAGTATCAATACTTTGAGTATCAATAGTTACCTTGATGTCGGAGTCGGACACCCCAAAGTCCAGGTTGGAGATGAGCAGCTTTCCCCCGTTCTCCACCCCTCTCTCCAGCACCTCCCGGGCTCCTCTCTTCTCGCCGGCGTCCTGCTCAAACATGTCGTGCTGCCACACGTCCGGCAGCTCTCTGGGCTGCAAACGCACAAAAGACCCACAACGGACAGCAAACAATATCAGAATCAGTCGTTTCAGGGATTATTTAGGTGTTTTACGCCTTTGTGTTATCATATCTGACCTATTTTTACCTTTCGTCTATTTTCTTATGGACATTTAGACTCATTTTGTGGTCATTTGTTTTCTTTGTGGTCACTTTTTGTAATCAAAGCTGGAAAGTTGATTTTAACCACTTTTTGTTCCATTTTTTACCCCTGGACCTTTCAGAAAAATGTTTTTCTTAATCCACTTCACATATTTTTTACCTTTCTTCTATTTTGTTATGGACATTTAGACTCAGTTTGAGTCTCTATTGACCCTCTTTTAAAATCATTTTGTGGTCATTTGTTGTCTTTGTGGTCACTTTTTTCATCAAAGCTGGACAAAAGTCTTAAAGTTTTTATTTCATTCACAGACGTTTGTACCCTCACTCCTCCGGGTGCCTTAAAGTTGATTTTGACCACTTTTTGCACCTGAACCTTTTCAGAACCAGGTTTTTCTTAATCCACTTCACAGTTTTGACCTATTTTTACCTCAGTTTGAGTCTCTATTGACCCTCTTGACATTGTTTTTGGTAATTTGTTGTCTTTGTGGTCACTTGTCATCAAATTTCATGCATAAAAACATTTTGACCAGTTTTTTCTTAATCCATTTGACGTTGATGGATAATTAAAGCATAGAAATGCGGATTTCACCGTCTTGAACGACTCCCAGCCCCATTCCACTCAAACAAACCCAGTTTTTCCCTTCAATTCTAACATTTTACTTCTATCTTAGCACGTTTAAGTCAATTGTTGCACACTTTTACAATCTTCTTGATCATGCAAAGAGCAATAAAGACCGTATTTTCCACGTGTGCCAACAAACCACGAACCCCTCGTTAAATAACCGGTGTGTGGCTGAAAAAAGGAGAATAAAGGTATATTATATAGATATTGTGTCTTCCGGTGCTCTCTTCTCCACTTGTTGCTTCTGGCTGAAGCGAAAGCAGGAAACCAGGCTTTATATTTATTTTCCCCATAACCTCTGAGTGTCTCGGAGAGGTGAATCTGCTCTGAAGCCGGATTAAATTCAACCTTCAGATAAATCTGAGCTCACTTCTGGGTCTTTCCGGCTACAACGGTTCAACGGTTCCGGCCGCGTGCGCACCAACGGTCGCTTTTAACGGTTGGATCTACTTTTTTCGGCCGTTCCTCCTCCGCCCTTTGTCCTCACCCGGGTGTACGGCGCGGGTCTGTTGCTCCACTCCCGGTTGAAGTTTCCCGGTCTTCCCCTCGCCGACGGCCTCGAGGATCCACCGGCTCTCGCTGAACTTCCACCCCGCCGGAACGAGCCTCCTCCGCCTCTGCCTCCTCCTCCTCCGCGGCCATCTTTCCGGCCCATCTTTATGATGTCGTCCAGGGACATGCTCATCTTGTCGGCCATCGTGTTTTTCGGGCTCCGGAGTCACCGATGGACGCGAACAAAGAACTTCTGGCGTCGAGGAGCAGTTGTTTCCCAGCTGATCTCCGGTGGCGCGATGTTGAAACCAGCGGAAGCTGCGTAAGTAGTTTCCGGAAGTGAGGCCTAACGGCTAACGGCTCCAGGGCCTCCACCGCCCCCTGGTGGCCCGCCCGGAGAACTGCACCCCCGCCATATTTATTTTATTTATTTTTATATTATTTATTTTTATTTTATATATATTTATATACGTTTATTTGTTTATATATATTTTTATATATATTTATTTATATGTGTGTGTGCATGTGTGATATTTATTATTTCATTTTTTCATCACCTTTTATTTTTTATTACTTCTTTCATATTTAAATCGAACCCAGGCTACTTTCTTTTTGGTATTTTCTGAGCTTCAATGCCAAGTCCATATCAACACTCTCAGTTATCGGGACACAGACCCCCCCACGCCAACTACCTTTAAGATCAGGCTTCAAAGTTTCCTTTTTGATAAAAATTATAGTTACAGATGGATCAGGGACCTGAAACATCCCATAGTTCTGCTGCTCTGAGGCCCAGACTGTTGGAGGGCTCCCATGATGCACCTCTGTTTCCTCTGGGGGGCTCCCACGATGCACCTTTCCCCCCTTCCATCTCCCATGATGCACCTCTCCTCCCTCTGGGGGCTCCCATGATGCACTTCTCCTCCTTTGCTCTCTTTCTTCTTGCTGTTACATTATTGTTGTTAACTCAGCCCTTATCCGGTCCAAAAAGATGGTCAGCCTTCCTGTTCTGGTTCTGACTGAGTTTTTTTTAACCTGGTTCTGGTTTTTATGGAGTCTTTTAACCTGTTTCTGGTTCTGATGGAGGTTCTGTCTGATTCTGACCAGTTTGGAATTAAAGAAGTTTCATTATCCGTGTAACAATTAACTGGATCTTTGGCCTCTCTTTCTAAAGGATTTAGCTTTTTAACATCCTATCAATGTTAAATCTATGAGAAGAACTGTTCTGATTTCAGTTTACTTATATACGTCAGAAGAAAACGTTTTAAATCCGTTGCCTCCCAACATTAAAGTTTATCCTCTTCAAACAACTCCTCTTTTGTGCTTGTGCTTGTTCAAAGTTAAGTCAACGTATGGAGGGAAGTGAACTAACCTTGTAATTAGAGCCGTTTAAGTCGCACCTGACACACAAAGAGCTGTTTGCATGCTTGTGTTCACAGTAACTCAGGGATCAGGGTCTTAAAAATCAAGACAATGATGTCTAAAATGTAAAACCCTTAGCCTTAAAAGTAGTATATATTCTTTATGGATAAGACCTTTGCTTGTTTGATCAATTGTGTTTAAGAATTCGGATTTTACTGGGAGAAATGGGACAATAAAGTTTGGAAACAAAAATTTTTTTCATATGCAGAATTTGTTCTTTTCTTTTTTTTACATGCTAATAAAATCAGGAAAAAGATAAAAAGCAAACCAGACTGCGTTAGCTCTTAAAGAGTGTGGAAATCTGGGCCAGTTTGAGGACGTCTGCTGACATTTGTGTGCATTTTGGACTACCGAAAAAAAGCTGCTGACACCCAGGAACGGCTACACACAACCTTTATTAGAGCTTTCCCTACTGGAGGCCATCACTCACAGCCCCCGTCTCCTCTTTAACAAACCCAGACGCAGTATTTGTTCGGCCTCTCTTGGCTCTACGCGGCGCCTGTGTGCTCTAAACCAGTAAACTCACTAAGGAGGGACAGTCGTTGCTCCCCAGACGATAAATACGCACGATTTGGACCTTTAGTCTGTGTTAGCGGTGGAATGGGATCGGAGAAGTGCGTCGCCATGGGGGGGCCCAGGCTGACCGGACCGGGAGTGTTTCCGTGTCCCGGGACGTCTGCCGCCACTCGGGGAAGTCGGCGCCGTCCACCGGAGGGCGCTGCAGGACAGGAAGAAAAAAGCAGCTCAGAGCAGGAGTTAACCCCCCAGAGGAGGAGAAACATCTCAGATTAAAGAGACACTTTCAAGAACGCTTTCAGGTGTCAGATTTTAAAAGGTTAAGTCGGAGTGAGCAGCTCTCTGAAAGCGGACGTTAGCTCCGTTAGCATCCAGCTGCGTGCTAACGTCCAGGAGGAAAGACACCAGAACGACCTGAAAAATGACCGGGAAAAGCTCAGTTGATGTTCTTTTACAGACCAAAAACCCCCCCCCCCATTTCGTCTAGCTAGTACCTCTTCATTCAATCCCTCGGTTTGGAAAAAGTGTCATTTGAAATGTAGCTAAACAATATCTGAATCTAAACGGAAAAGTTGGGTCTGATTTGAGGCTGTCAGAGCTCTGATTGGTCCTCAGTCAGAGTGAGCAGCTCTCTGGAAGCAGACGTTAGCTCCGTTAGCATCCGGCTGCGTGCTAACGTCCAGGAGGAAAGACACCAGAATGACCTGAAAAAGCTCCGTTGATGTTCTTTTACAGACCGATAACCCCCCCGAAAGCCCAAAAACAGCCAGTTCCTGTAGCTAGAACCTCTTCATTCAATCCCTCGGTTTGAAAAAAGTGTTGTTTAAAGGTC